GCTTTGCCCCACAATTGACAAAAAAAGAAAAACTGGGTTCAGGGTTAGAAACTCAAAGAAAAGATAGCTAAAGGGGAATAACAAAATGCTGAAACAAGGACACAGGATGACCCATTGCAACAATGATACTCACAAGACACTACGTTGGAAATGAACTTTACTACTGTGTGTGTGTGTGTGTGTGTGAGTGTGTGTAGTGGAGGAGGTGGGGGAGGGAAGGGATAGGAGGAGAAAAACAAAGGATGGGGTAACAATGCTTGACAACGCCCCAACTCTGTCCAGGTGCCCAGGCAGGCTGAAATGACCAACCAGACCAGCAGCAAGTTCTCTTCTCCACCGTTGAGACCCTCAGTTCCTTCTCCCTGCTCAGAACGCATCCCTGTGCTGTAGCCAGTGGACAGAGCCCACAGGAAAGTATACTACAGGAAAGGGCACCTGCTACAGAAGGGGATCCCAGGGTCGATCTTCAGGCATTGGTACAAAGTTAATTAAGACAATACTCCCAGAAAACATTTGGCCAGACAATGGCTTCATGTTTTCATTCTGACTCCTTTCAAAAAAACACTAACGAATGACCTCTTTATTCACACAAGTGAATCCTCAAGGAGGGTCAGCTTTGTGATCTCCCATTTTCAGAGCACAAAGGAAAGCATGGAGGACAAAGCGAGGTCTTCCGAACGAATCCACACAAGCGTGTATTCAGTCTCTCTTTTATCCTTACAAGGCCCTTCCTCACAGGCAAGAATCATGGCTTAAGTAAATGTTTCTGTCACTTAGGATCTAGCCTGATAAATACCCCATGCACAGATGACAATATGATACAATAAAGATATGGTCTGGAGCCTAAGACTCACTGAGGTTCAAGGAGAAAGGATTGCCCTCTTGTGGACCTCCTAACTTGAAGATGTGCTGCATCAGGACAGAGACACCAGCTGGGACCTCTGCGGGAGCTCCATGACATCTACTGGCCTTGTCCTTTGATGAGGAAGGTGACATCCAGCAAATCAAGCCAGTCACCCTACCAGGAATTCTCCACATGAGACCCTTGTGATGGCCTATGAGCTCCTAAGGACTGAAGTCAACAGAACTACCCAAGGATCCTAATGCTCACTCATACCAGCTCCCTTTCAAGTTGCAGAGATGTGCTCTCTAGTGGAATCAATGTCCTTTGCAGTCCTTCATGGCCAAGGTCAGTCTTCTGTGTCTTACCCAAGGATGTCTGCTGGGTGCAGGTATGAGGTGGACTGTCAGTACTGTGTCTAGATGACATGAATCTTGGAGAACAGATACTGCAGGGATAATCCTATCTACAACCCAAACCCCACAAGTCTACTATTCTTGAGGGGTGTAAAATACCTATGAGTCAAGAGGAATAGGTTCGAGAGACCTATACAATACTGCTGGAATAAGAAAGAAATGTACACTTAAAAATTGCCAACACAGGGCTGGGAAGGTGGCTCAGTGGTAGAGTGCTTGCCTTGCATGCTTGAGGCCCTGGGTTCGATTCCTCAGCACCACATAAGCAAAAAAAAAAAAAAAAACCCAGAAGTGGCGCTGTGGCTCAAGGGGTAGAGTGCTAGCCTTGAGCTGAATTGCTGAGGGACAGCACCCAGGCCCAGAGTTCAGGCCCCACGACTGGACCAAAAAAAAAAAAATTGCCAACACAAGCTGGGCTCTGGTGGCTCATGTCTGTAATCCTAGTTCTTTAGGAACTGAAATCTTAACAGTATGGTTTGAAGCTAGCCCAGCCAGGAAAGTCAGTGAGATTCTTATCTACAATTTACCAGGAAAAAAAGTTTGAAATAATGGTGTGGCTCAAGTAGTACAGCTCCAGCCTGGAGCAAAAAAGTAAAGAGACAGAGACAGAGACAGAGAGAGAGACAGAGAGACAGAGACAGAGACACACAGAGAGAAACAGAGAGAGAGAGAAAGAGAAAGAGAAACAGACAGACAGACAGAGAGACAGAGACAGAGAGACAAGGGAGACAGAGAGACAGAGAAAGACAAAGAAAGAGAGATAGATAGTGATAGTGATAGTGTGTTCAGGCCCAATACCAGCATACATACAAAAAAATTGCTAACAGATACTTAAGACTATTCATCACAAAAAAAGGTTAATGGGAGATTAAAAAGGTGTATATGGGGTAGGAGGCATGAGTTTATTTGTAGAGCAGCCATTGAGCAAAAGAGTCAGTTACAGAATTCTAGTCTCAGACTTGGACAAGAAAAAATGATGTGGGCAGTTAATGTTAATTACCTGAGTTTTGCCATTCTACAATAGACAATGTGTATGTTTACTGGATAAATGATATTAAAGAATAATCAAAGATTCAAATTTTATTAACAAGGCTTTTCTCTAGCTTGTACATACACACAACTATTCTACCAACCATGGGCCACCAGTCTGGAGACCTCACATAGACAAGGTAACATTTGTCTCCCAGACACCTCTGCCTCTGCCCTGCTCAGAGCACTCCATGGGTATTAACTCTTCCATCTCCTTCATGTTCCTTGTAGGGGAGAAAGAGGGTCTGCTAGCCATCTTGAGTCAGGTTTTGGATTACATTCAAATTCTTTGTCCTTGCCAATACAGTGCTCATTAGCTGGGGAGGAGGGAGTATATATCAAGCATCTGATGACTAATTATAAGATATTTTGGGAAATGGTGGCTTCAACCTACTTAGGCAGCTCAAGTGTAGAGACATGTAAGAGAGGGTGTCGAGGCCTGCACCTCCAGGTGGGAATTTCCTCTCTTGGGAGCTGTGAAGCTCTTTAAGGCCTCAGAAGGGACTCGCTTTCTGTCATCTGGGGTTCTTCCCTCACAGCTATTTCTCCCACATGCACATCGTTATCAACTGTGCGATCATCACTCTCTCTCAAGCCTCCTGTGGTGGGCAAATGAAATCCTGCTTGGCCTGGAAAGCTAGGGAAAATGAGTCCTCTCCTGGAGACCCCCCAGGTCTGCCATGGCCTGCCTCTCAGCCTCCCCTCCCCAACCTCTGTTCCAGCCTACCCTCAAGTGTATGTGCCAGCTCATCCCTATTTGGGGGCACATTCTATACCTAAGAAAGCTCTTGGCTAGAGGCTGTGGACAATAGCTGTGTCTCAGTTTCTCCTCAACAATCACCACTATTTTTTTTCTCTCTTCTCCTTTACTTCTCTTTACTCTGTGGTGGGCACAAGAATGCCTTCCAAAGATATCCACTTCCTAAACTTCAGAACCTACCATGGCAAAAGGAATTCTGAAGCTGAGACCACACACAGGCACCTGGATCACCTAGGTGGGCCTGAGGTGATCACCTGGTCCTTACAAGAGGGAATCAGGAGGGTCAGGGTCCCAGAAGACATGTCCATAGAAGCTGAGAGAAAAATCAGACAATGCTACATGGCTGGTTTTGAAGACAGGAAGTGACCATGAGCCAAGGAAGGCAGGTAGCTTCTAGAAGCTGGAAAAGGGCCAAAAAGAATGCAACTCTCACTGATAGTAGTTTAGTGAATTCCCTTTTGGATTTTTAAACCTCAGCACTGTGAGGTAACAAGTAGATGAGTTGTTTTAAAGTCACTAGTTCATTTGTTATAGCAACAATAAGGAACTAATATACCCCCCCCCCAAATATATAGATTGCAATACACAGGGGAATGTGATGGGTATAGATGGAACTCTACCAGGCCCTCTCTCCTCCCTCCACGCCCCACCTCCTCAACCCAGTGTGGTACCTTCCTCAGATTCCTCTCTTCCCTAATCAGTACAGCACCTATCAGTGCCTACCTCACCTTTGACCCTGAACTTACTTTCCTTCCCACAATGCCTCTCAGACTTCCTGCAGAAGTCAGAAATAGACTCCCTTTTGCTTTCTTCTTGGGCCACACCTTCCAGGGAATTGGGAAGGTGGGTCATCCCAACCTGACCCCAGCCTTAACAAATGGTCAGCTGTATCCTGAAAACCCACATTGGAAGGATGTGGCTCACCGTCTCGAGGAGAAAAATGAGTCCACTGGCATCCTCAGAATAGGAAACATGTGCTACGCATTACAGCCAGACCCTTGCTTTTGATGCACATTAGAGAATCCACATACGTCCCCAAAGACAATGCTTCAGATTCATGACCTAAAGTATGTGACCTTAAAAAAAAGACCAGCACCTGCCTCTTGTCGTGATCATAAGAGATCCAAGATCAACACCACATTGCAAATTTCCTCTTACGAACAACAGTGGTATTATATCACTCACTGTTGATTAAGCATCCTAAGTGTTCTGAGAGAGTTCCTCATGTGGAGGAACAGACCCAGGGCTGCCTGCGAAGCTGTCCACCCAGGACTGCCCAGAATCACAGTGTGGGAGGCAAGGTGTCACCTGCCACCACCAGCCGCAGCAGCATCCAGAACACACAATTCTGCCATTAGGGTGTGAGATGTGGCCAAAATATTAACAAACATGTTACTCAGAGGAAGAATGTTTGCTAAATTTCTTAATGTTTCATTTACAACACCTCACATCTTCTCAATGAACAGCTGAGCCTTGTCAATGCTGTGCAGAGGAGATTCTAACAAACATGTATCAAATGGGGGGACCCAATTAATCAATTTTATAACTAAATCAAATAGACAAGCGATTAATAAATTTCTCTGTACACTCAGTAATAGCTCAGTAGAGTTAAAGGTACCAGTTTTTTTTGAGACCATGAATATACATGCATACAACTCTACCAAGTGATATTCCCTCCCATAGATTCATAACTATAAACAATAGAGACAATCTATTTTGATGGTTTCCAACCAAGATTTCATTGGCTTTGGAGACAAAGTCAGAGTAACAAGTATCCCATGAGGCATTGGGCCACAGGAATCTCCTGGCCTTTGGGAGATATTGGGGATAGAAGGAGGAAGAGGAGGAGGAGAAGGAGGAAGAGAGTGAGGAGCAAGAGGAGGAGGAGGAAGGAGAAGGAGAAGGAAGGAGGAGGAGGAGGAAGGAGGAGGAGGAGTAGAGAGCCACCACTTACTTTGTCTGGAAGTGGTGCTGGAGATCGCAGCGCTGCAGCACCTCTGTGCAGTGCTCTGTGAAAGGGCAGGTGACTGGCAGCTTGTTGAGGAGTTTGTGGACCAGGATGCTGGACTTCTTGCAGTGTTGTAGAATCACGGGTTTCCGATCCACTGGGCAGAAGTCTTTCTCCACGAGGAGGTTGGTAAGGCACAGGGCACAGTAGGTGTGGCCACACGGAGTGTCCAGAGGGTCCAGCAATGCCTGCAGGCAGATGTGGCATATGAGGTCATCATCTACATCTTCTGCATAGGTGTAGAAGTGGTTTTCTTCTGGAGAATGAGCTTGGCCACAAACTATGCACAGGGGGTTAGGGCTGGCATCAGGGTCATCAGCAGGGGCTGGCTGGTTCATGGTCACCTGGGAAACAGCTTAGTAGGAAATCCAATAAAACAGTATTTCCTTGGAGGAAGTTAAGGTGCCCCAATAGCCATCCACAAACCTACAAGAGAGCAAGATAGTTCATGTTTACTTTATAGCACGCAGAAACCCAATGCTGAGGTAAGAAGGAGACTGAGCTACCAGTAGACGGCGACAGAGCTGTGACTCCGAAGGCGAGGACTCAATCTCTACCTTGGAGTGACATAATGGGATTTGGCCAAGTGCATGAATAGTGCCTCACCATTCATCCAATGGGAGCAATATTTATCTTTAACATCCTCAAGCTGGTGTTGTACATGTTACTTGGGTAACACTTATTGTATAACTGTCTGGATAACTAAAAAAAATGTTTAAAGAAATATTAATTTGGTAATCAAGTTCAATAGATAAGTGATTTATAAAATTCTCTATCAAATCAAGAAAAGGAGAGAAGAATAAAACAAAGCAGTTGAGCTCCACTGCCTCTCTCCTGTGTTTCTTTCCTATCTTTGTCCAAAACCCTGAAACTACAGGACTTCATGCCTTCAACTAAGTCATCTGAGCCACTGGGCATTTGTATTTTTCTGTGGTAAGGGCACCATTTTCCTCTGCAATTCACTAGCTCACACACTCCGTCATTACTGGATGTACTGCCTGGGTTCAAATACCATCACCACTATGGTCAGTGATTCCTTCCTCTGTTTCTATACCTATAAAATGGAGTATTATAATAGCCCCATTCACAGGACTGATGTGAGGATCTACTGTATGACACAAAGCTTTTAGAGTTGTGTGCTTGGGATTTAAAAGTCCTCAATAAATATTTGCTGTTCTTCTTAAATGTGTTTGTTATGGAATCTAAGCTCTGTTGGCCTGGAATCTGAAAGCGAATAGTCCTTATAAGGCATCTGTTAGCTGTATTCTTCTTTTGTTTAATTATGTTTTTCATAGAAGATCATCCTAATATATTTTTTCCTTTGGTATAATTTAGGTTCAAAATAATCAACATGATTGATTTATACCTAGGATGTGTTTTGGATAGTCAGTGAAAAAATACTTTTCAAGCCCTAAGTGTGAGCTGGAAGTAGCGATCCTGAAAGAGATAGGAATGATGTGGCTCTGTGCACAGAGAGTCCCTATCACACAGAAGTCATTGTAGATATGCCCAGGGGATCAGTGTAAACTGTGACTCTGTCACCTCTCACGATAACTCAGCACAGGGGACCTCACCTTATCCCTTCCATGTTTATTTCCCAAGAAAAATAAAAAGGACTTCAGTTTTCCCCCAGAACAAGTTTAATACACCAGGAAACTAGCCATGTGTGGGAAAGCATATAGCAGTCGCAAACTGTGGCACATATTTTTCTTTTCTAATTGAAATCTGAGGTCATTTGTGTGAACACTGCCTTATCTCCAGAAGAAAATACATTGACTTTAAACTTGCACTGAGCCAATTTGGCTGTTTATATTTCTGTCCTGTGTTTGGATGCCTGGATGAGCATGCTGGATGATGGATTGAAGTAAAAATGCCCTGAATGTGAAAAACTTAGAAATCCCTGCATTTGATTTAGCATCAGATAGAGCCACCAAAGGCAAAGGTAGGGGGCACAGGAAATGGGTGTCATTGCTTCCAATCAAATTCCATGGAAAACTCCACAGCTGTAACTCATCCTTGGGGCGAACAGAAGGTACTGGAACCTCACAGGAAATGCTTTCTGTGACACCAGAAGTAGTTAAAAATAAACAGGAAACTGGAAATGGGCCATCCGAAAGGTTATCATACACTTCACAGGGGAAAGGTTCACATAGGGTGGACTAAAGCCCTAGATTTTTCTGGGTTTCTCTAGAAGAGCTTGGCTGTGTTCTCCCATGAGCTCTGGTGCTGCTGCTCTTTCTCATGGGGAAGAGTCTGTAACAGGAAATCAGGCTAGATTCTACTGGTCCCACTGGTAGCTTAGGCCAGACTTTTAGTTTTTAAAAAGCCTTGGGTTTTCTGCAGAAATAAAGGGAGACAGGGCAGGACTCTTGCCCACTTGCTATGGTTGGATATATGTCTCCCAAAGTTCTGTGTATTAAAATAAAGGCCTTCCCCCTCCCCCACCAGGGTGGGGCCGTTGACAGGTGGTAAAGCCTTTGAGAGGTGGGACCCAGTGGGGATCATGGGACTCTATTTTCTTTGTTTCCTGGCTTACCAACACCAAAGGAAATATTTTGTCTTGCCACTTCCTCCTGCCAGTGCCAATGGGCCAAAGCAAAGGGGTAACCTTTTTCTCTTGGAAATTAATTGCCTTACTTTTTTCATTAAAATAATGCAAAGCTATCAAACCAGCTTCCCACTTAGCTTTTTTTTTGGTCAATCGTGGGGATTGAACTCTGGGCCTGGGCGCTGTCCCTCAACTCTTCAGTTCAAGGCTAGCACTCTACCACTTGACACAGCACCATTTCTGGCTTTTTCTGCTTATGTGGTGCTGAGGAATCGAACTTGGCCCCATGCATGTGAGGCAAGCACTCTACCACTGAGCCACTCAGCTTTTTTAAAAAAATGTAAAGTCACACATATTGATAGTATTAGGAGTTTACACCATGATAGTTCCATAGATGTATATAATACCTAACCAACATTTTATTGATACACTCAGATTCTCATAAGATTCTGCTGAAAAAAAACATAGCTTAAGAAGACAGGAATTATAAAGCACCAGATTGTACAAAGTCCTTTTATGAATCTATGCTAATCAAGGAGTGCTTTGTTTTAGGTGGTTGGATTTTCTTAACTTTACTTACTAACAATTTCTTGAACGTTTCCTTTGTGCTAGAGAATATGATTATATAATGTTAGTTAAGCCTTGCAAGCCACTAGGAATATTTTTGGTTTTAGTTGAACAGACAAGGAGATTGAAATGTGGCATGTAACTAAGGTGCTGGTCACACCCTAAAGGAAGCCAACCAGGCAGGGCTATCTTACTCTGCTTTCTGCTCTTAACCTTTCCTCCACTTCAACTCCCAGAATCTTTCCTGATTATAACTAACCAGAACCTCCATAATGGCAGTCATTCAGCATACAAGTTTTTAAGTCTCTTAGGCCTTATTACAAGTAGATACGTCAAAGATCTCTTAAAAAAAAAGTTTCCTTGGAGTGGTGGTAAAAAGACGAGGAGAACCAAATGGAGGAAAACAGAGCAAATACAGTCACTGTATTCAGTGTATAATATGTAAAAGTTGAACTATATAGTCTGAGGGTAAGGATGGGATGGGAAGAACAATGGAAAAGGTGACATTGACCAAGATGCATTATGCTCATATCTGACTTGTGGAGTTGAAACTCTTTGTACAATTACTTAAAAGAATACATTATGCCAGTGGCTCATGTCTATAATCTTGCTACTCAGGAAGCGGAGATCTGAGAACTGTGGTTCAAAGTCAGCCTGGGCGGGAAAATATTAAGCACCATTTTTTTTTAAAGCCCAAAGTAGAGATGTGGTAGAATGCTAGCCTTGAGAAAAAAAATTTCAGCAGTGCCTAGGCTCTGAGTTTAAGCCTCAGGATAGGCATAAAAATAAATAAATACATTTTTTAAAGAAAGAAAAGATTCCTTGATTCTACTGAGCCTCTCCATGCTGAATTCTAATATTACTTTCCCTCCCCTCCCTTTCCTTCATTGCCCTTCCTTCTCCTCCCCTCCCTACCTCTTTCCTCTTCTCTGTCTCCATTTCCAAGAGCAGTTTGAATTCCTGGCACTTACCCATGTGGTAACTGAATTTATTCATCTAATATTAATGTAAACACTGTTACATATCTTTTCTTAATAATTTACATTATTAAACTAAAAGAAGCCTATGGGAATAAAAACATTATGAGAGGACTGGCTGAACAAGCAGTGCTTGCTCTAGAGCAAAGAACTAAGTAGACCTTTGGTCTCAAAACACTTAAAAATACTAGTACCATTTGCCTGGTGGTTCTTAGTTCCTGTTCCTCTTGTAATTTCATGGTGTATCACCATTTTAGAAATACATGAGCCTTGCTGAACTGAGGAAAGACAATGAAAATAGAAAATCATTTTTCCCTTGCCAAGTGAGAGAGTGGGTCTGTCACTTAGAGACCATTTAAATTGCCTCCGTGAGGCCCTGGGCAGCACTCCTGGCCTGGGCTGGAGAAATCAGGGGTGCTTTGGTATGAGGGAGCAGGGTTAGTGAGCACCCTTCTTTGGATGTGTGTATGAGGTGGGGTGGAAATCTTCTACTTTCTTGCCGTCAATACTTAGGACCAAGCATTGCCCTGCTTTTTAACTTGGGGCAAAATCAAAGCCTGCAATGTTTTTTAGACATGTATGCCATCAAAGCCACCAATGTGGTCTTGAAAAGCACCAGGAGACACAGATCTTCCATGTTGCTGGCCATTTATCTTTGCATCCTTTCCTAAGCAAAGCTCTGGCTGACACCTGGCAGTTGCACTGTGGCCTGATTTTCAAATTCCAGACTTCCTGGCTGCTTCAGTCTGTTTTCTGTTGCCGTAACCATACTATGAACCAGGAAATCCAAGAGCAAGGGCATGTGATATGAATCAAGATGCATTGTCCTCAGAAAGTAACATGTTAAATAGAAACCTCTCCATTCAACTACTTGAATAATTTTTAAAGGGGGGTGGTGAGAGAGAAAGAGAGAACACACCAGAGTACTGAACCAGGTCTTTTATCATTAACCATCTCCAGAGATAATAGCTCCCATTCCTCCATTGGAAAGCAGAGCCTTCATGGCCTGTTATAGGCCCCACTTCTCACTACTCGCATATATGGCCAATTCTATTTCAACATGAGGTGGTTGTCTGTGTGTGTGTGTGTGTGTGTGTGTGTGTGTGTGTGTGTGTTCCAGTATTGGGGCATGATCTCAGGGCCTCAAGCTCTTACTTAGCTTTAGACTCCAGGCTGACAATCTACCACTTAAGCCATACCTCCAGTTCTGGCTTTTCACTGGTTAACTGGAGATAAGACTAACACAGACTTTCCTGCTCAGGCTGGCTTTGAACTTTAATCCTCAGATCTTAGCCTCCTGAGTACCTGACATTAGAGGTGTTGATCCACTGGCA